TGGATTGACCAAAGCAACGCAACCTTTGTTGATGAATATGAGCGTCAATGTTGACGGGTTGATGCTGACGGGGAACGGAACGGCAACGGGACGGTCGAGAGACGCGCAGTAGTGGATAATTTGGGTTTGTTTAGCCTGAGAGGAATGGGTATCTGATACTGATTCAAGTCCACTTGCAGGCTCGCAATGATCTTGACTCCAGTGCTTTCTCTACTGTTTGATGCTTGACCCTGCTGTTCAACGTGCTCTTGCTTCTCTCGTAGAGGGGATGCAACACGGGATGCAACACGGAGGAAGAGAATGGAAGGCAAGAGGGTAGATGATTCAACAAAGTATAAGTATGGATCAAATTAGATGGCCTTGAAATTGAGACTCGGGGTCTGTGATAGAGTCAACGAGATGAAGAAGAAAAAGCAATATCGAATGATGACCAACCAGAAGAGAGGAACCAGAACGCTGTACTTATAGGTATTCAGATCATGTAGGTACTAAGACAGGTGCCTTAGCATTCGGCAGCAGATGTCTTTATATTTCGTACTGATTTCGACAACTTTCAAGCCAAGTAGGAGTCTACCTGGTCTATCTGCCTTGGTATTATTGTTTTTTCCTTACGCTCCGTCCCTCCTTTGCCCCTGGACCCTCTTGTGTCTTGGAGCTCATTCTCGTCCGTTATTATTAACAAGCTCTTAGAATGTCCCACTCTATCTATTAATACTAATAAACGAGGAGTGCTATTTACTATCTACATAGTACATATACTCAGTCTAATCATCTAATGGTTTAGTCTGTTCTCAGTATTCTGGTGATCTGATCCGAATTTCTCTTATTCGGATGGTGACTTCTCTGATAAACCCATTGATGATCGATGTCTTCATGAGCGTTCCTTTCCCCCTGTATAGATACCTGTCTCAAATCCGCCAAAGGAGTGTCCCTTTTCTCCTTCCACGACACCCCGCCTCTTCGCGAGTTTCCCCTCCAACAGCACGGGGCAGGAACTGAACTTTGGCAGTCGGGACGCTCTGACTTGACTGTAATCTTGTGCTCCCCTTACCCCCTAATCGGAGCTTTTTCGGCCACTTAACGGTCTCGTTACTTTGTGGAATAAGTATTTATGAACGGCAGACCAACGTTTTGAGACTGAAACAGATTAATTCCCTAAAAACACCAGAGGTACGTACCTCTTTGGGACTTTCGATTCACATGGGGATAGTCGTTTCTAGCTCCCGACTGACAGTTTCTCCCCTGAACCGGTGCCTAGGACTTTGATACTAATGCACTTTTAGAGCCCGAGCTAGATGTCGATGTAGGATCCGCCTCTAAGAGTTGAAATAGCCTGTCTAATATAGACTACTGCTATGCTTCTCCTGGGCGAGTTAGTTGGCCCAAGTTGATCAACACAAGCAGAAACCCACACGAGCTCTTGCTCCTAAGCGGATGATCGAGATCAATAGCTGCCTGATAGGCAGAGCCATGAGAAGTAGTCGATTACTCGATTGGCAAGCATCACCTACGTCCAAATATCGTATTTCCGTTACACTGAGCGTTAAGCCCCTGAGCTCGTTCTGACGGTGGGCGAACACTGACTGCACTACCATTGTAAAAAATAAAGAAAACGCTCATCAATATGGACAATGGAGAATTACGGAGTACACGAGAACTGTCCCGATGAATACTCAAATCAAACAGTCATTTATCTGAGGCACAAGCCTTCTCGAACAATTTCCCTCATCGTTCCCCGTTGACCGTCTGTGTCAAATATCAATAGTACCTGGAATGGGCCCCGTCCGGAGTACCTCTTCCGTCCCCGTAACCCCTATTCTAACCTCGCAATTCTCCATGCAGGAGAAGCTCCAGAAATGATCCATCACCTTTTCAACGAATGATGTCAAAGAAATGTCATCAGCTCCATTCAACCGATACTCGAAGAGGAGAGATGACCTTTTGGGAGGGATCCGCCGTCAATCCCCAATTTCTGGCTATGGGAATGGAATCACACCTTAGACCACGAGCTAGAAGCCGCTAGAGTGTGACCAGAACTCATGGCATAGAGACGGTTAATTTGAACTGGGGCTTTTTAATCCTCTTTAATAGCTTCACTCTGGGAGATTAGTGTTCGACTTCATCCAAATAGCTTGTTCAACACTGTCTAGTATCCTGTTCCACGATCGCTCTTCGCCGTCTATAACTATAAGGTAGGTAACTTCGCAACAAACCTACTACTATGCAGTAGATAGCATGCCTTACAGCTTACAGGCTACCACAGGGCCAGACTCCCGATTCTGTGGCTGATTCCACTCGCCTCCAGCAGTCCCACCTCACCATTCATCACTATTCGTTAGGTGGTGCTCTAGTTAGTCCCGCGGTGTGGCTTCCGGGGGGCAATGCCTTAGATGATCCCGGCGACGGACTCTCCAAGCGCATTCTATGGAATATTCTTAGTCTGTTCGCAGCTGGAGAAAAGTCATGGCCAATTTACTGTATTAATTAATCAAACCATCACACTAAATAACAGTGACTTTACCCGATGAAGGCAGTGAGCCACAGGCACAGCGGTCCTCTATGATCCGGAATCCGCCTATAACAGATTCGGGATATTCGAAATCCAATATGACCATGAGACATGCGTAGGGCGTACGTGTGCAAAATTTGCGTTCCTCTATTTCATCACGCTCATCACTGATGGTAACAGTATCCATCATGCTGTGAAATGAGGGCCAAGGCTTTCTCATTAGTATGTCAGTTGTGTCGACGGTGCAATACCTAGCATTATAATACGGTGTCATGCTGCCATACATGGCATCAGAACCGCACGATCCACTTGGATGTGGCGAGAATATGACAAATCTATCAATTATCACCCCCTAAACGGAGGATGACTATGGAGTATGGACTCGACTCGATGCTAATCACATTTCCGGCAAGGTTGTCAATCCTCCGGGTCCGAGTGGACAGCATCAGATGCATACGGACTGCTATCGTTGATCTCGCATACGACCGTCATCAAATCATCATGACTCTGATACTTATCGCACTGTAAATACGCACAGAGTCAGATTTCTGCCTGGTGCTGCTCAGACATCATCACTTATCAAGAACTGAGGGTTTGAGTTATCGCCGGCAATTGCATGATGCAGGTCAAAAAAGCAAAAAAAGTGATCATTTCACACTCGGAATTGTACACTACCAACTGCCACTAGCACTGCCACTGAGGACCAGGGGCTAACAGAGAAGGAATGATCATCAGGAGCTGCTGCACGTAGAGGTTCATTACTGCATACAGACATGTCATCGATGCGCGATGTCAAATCAGATTGTCCACAGTCGCACTATATCTGATCAGTTATTGATTCGACTCAGAGGGTTGTATTCGGCCCATTCGAGTGTTCGGATCCTGTTCAGTGCTCCCGTCTCATCCGCACCCTGCAATCGATCGATGCAGACGCAAGCAGGAGCAGGGTAGGCAGGCCGCATGATCCCTTGTCGCCACTAGAACGCCACAAGGCGCATCTCCAACTTATCAAAAGAGGAATGATGGACCACAGAAACAGAAATGTAAACGACAGGGCAGCTGACAGTCGCTGCACAAGCTCATTGTGTGATTGTTCTCGCTCTTTTGGGCCTGGGTGCTTGTCTGATGGGCCTTCGCCTTCACTGGATGTCAGAGTGCATGCTCTCTACTCTGCACTCCAAGCACAGTAGTACAGTATTCATATAAACTTATATCCTATCATAAGTACTTAGACCAAGGACATTATGATATCAGATCGTGTTTCTGCGGCATAATCACAGATATTGATATCAGCGGCAATCAGTTGTGATGTGACCTATCAGGATTGACATTCGCTGTGCTTCCTGAGCCAGAGCAGAGCCAGCCCTTGCATTATTACATTCATATGTGTCTCAGGGTCTGGAAGCATCAGATTGTAGTATGATACCGCTCCAGCCAATGGAGTAGTAAGCATCTCAGGCGCTGCATTCGAAACCCAGAGAAACTGACTGTGCAGGTTCCTTGTAAGCCTCGCTCGTGCATTTCGCTTTGCAGCTTGATATCAGCAAGCATTTCAGCAAGAGTCCATTCTCTTTAAGGAAGTGCACATATATATTGACTGGCTTTGCACCTGTCAGCTTAATGGCATCATCTCAAGAGGAATGCAGGAAAGAAGTAACCGATGGTATTTTCTCACATTCTCTTTTGTGGCCCTCAGTTATCATTCTTACGATCCTCCAATATGAACTGCCAAATCGAGTCTTATAATGATTGGACCTTCCATGCCTCTTTGATCGATGCATACTCCTTACTATATTTTCGTTCGAGTTGATCCCAAAGCCTGACTCCATTGTAATCAACCCAACCAGGGACTTGGAAAATTCGACAAAAGTACTCCATAGGTAGGTCCGCTGTGTCTATTCAGCCTTGCAACGACATGGCATACGCCTGTATTCACCAAGCTCAACGAATGTCCAAGTTAAGTCGGTCAAAAGTCCCGTCAAATGTCCTCCGTATGCATGTGTGATGTGGACGGAGTAAGGGGTGGTATCCGTATTCCACAACATTCCCCGATATTTCGCAATGTAGAAAATAAATTCTCTGTTTTTGAGCAAAGAGTCCTAAAAGGATCCATGTTCATCTATAGATACTCTGATATGTGCACTTTTTCCCACAATGACCGCACTGCAGAGCGTTAGAAGTCGGATTGTACATTCTACTCGCAAATCCTGCTTTCTTCGACTTTGGAAATGACCCATAGTCAGTATAAATAACGTCACTTAATCATTGCTTCTCCTGTAAGAGACTACAGCGGCCTGTTGAAGGCCGAAGGTGTAGACAGGTACCTGCTAGGAATATCACACAACCCGAATCATCAGAACAGTATGAAGAGCATCATGTCATCAATCAACAACCACGTGGATCATCAAAAATTCGGGCCAAAACCCCTGGAATATAGCTCGTCTCTGGTCATCTACTTGTCTCCATCATGGAGGTAGTCACTAAAAAGTCCTCACAGCCAAGCAAGACCGATTAATCCCACAACAGCCGCCACGGACGCAGCTTTTGGGACTGCAGAGGCAGCCACCGCATTGTTGGTCGCTTGAGCGTTGCTGCCGGTGTTGGTGTTGCTGGACGACTGCGAGTTACCTGTGGTACTGGTGGATCCAGTTGAGCTGCTGCCACTGCTGCTCTGAGTAGTGCTGGCGCTGTTCGTCGCAGTTGTGCGGGTAGTACCCGTAGCAGTGCTCAGGATGGAGGTTGCAGCAGCCGCGTTATAAGTCGTGGTGGACAAGGAGCAGGAGGTGAGGATATCATATGCATCTGTATGAGATATGTATCAGTTTCTATGCACGGTTTGGGAGAGATTGATGGCATGCAGACTCAACCATACCGTTGTCATGGATCTCGTCGCGGTCATCATCATGGTCATTGTTATTGCGAATGTCACTTCTGTACTGAGCGATGCATGCCTCGCAGAGGGGAACCAGAGTAGATGCCTGATTCCAGTCGCAGATGCACATCATCTCGGCTCTATCGTTGTCGCGATGCATGTTATCGCATTTCTGTGCGATGCCCACCACGGGACCGCAGACGTCCCAGCAGCGATTAGGGACGTCGTCACGTTCGAGCTCGGCTGCGAGAGAGATGTTACTCGCGAGCATGAGGCCGGAAAGAGCAAGGAACTGCAAGGGGCGCATTGTTGCTGGATTCGAGTTGTAGGGATGACTGGGACTGATGGGATTGACAGTAGGATTCTATATGTTTCTTGTGTTTGAAGATGTAGATTCTCCAGCGGCTTTCCGTGCGGTTATATACTGATGCTGTCAATCACTTCTTGGCCTGTCTCCCTTGATCGCCAGACCCCGGGACCAACGAGAATATCGCCCAGAGTCCATAACCCACGGCTGTCTGCCGAGACATTCGAAATAGAACGGGTGCAATGGATAATGTGCTTCAACGGTCAGCTGCGAAAGAACAAACGCGTCGCTAAGCCTCTCCAGACTCCATGTGCCAAGCATCATATCTGAGGAATGACCTTGAAGATTGACACAGGATATCCCCCTTCCCAGGCATCGGGAAGAAGCTGCCTGGAATCCTTGATGATCCATTGATCGGGTTTTATGTCTGCCAAGAGCATGTTCATCGCTACCAGACGGGTAAGGCGGGGACTGCCGCCATTCATGGCTTTCACCGCTGCAGATGAACCCTGGAAATAGTTGATGACCTGGTTTGTGATTGATCCAGAGAAATTGGAGAAGTTGTACAGAGTGGGGCGATATTGTGGCAGCGTCTGCCATCATCAGTAATGGGAGCTCTAGAGAACCCAACAGTGCTGTCTTGAATTCAATGGAGATGATCGTTGCAATGGATACCATAGTTGGAAAATGCTCCCAAGTCAGTGGTCTTGGCTCCTGCAATCCTAAACCAGCGGAATGGATAATCTCTCGATGTTTAAGGTGCAATTATGGGATGTGTTATGCTCATGATGCCATTCCTAGATAGCTGTCCTGTTTCAAGGAGAAGTTATTGCATTGGATATCTCTGTAAAGGCACCGATAGAAGAAGGCATAGAAGATCCAGCGACAGCCATGCATTGAATGAGAATTCAGATTTACAATGATCACTACCTACATTATGGCTCCTCCTGTACAGGATTAGCAGCCCAATGTCCAGGGTCGTCAAATCAATGCAGAGCCGGAAAACTGGGGTACTGCACAGCCTTTCCGCTATATATAGATTGGTCTCCTGTGCGGTTATCTTGACGATACAGTTATGACTGCCCGTTACCTCTCTAGAGGGGGGGAAAAAAAATCTGCCTATTTGGAAGGAGACTTCTTTGGCGAAATTCCTAAAGATAGCCGTCAAGCGATGTTCTGATATCATAGATGTAAAATCAACGCATCGGGGCTGATTCTACCGGACAAACGGCAGGGAAGTCGGCAGACTCAGCAATCTCATACGGAAATAAGTGTCCGCTGTCGTCAAGCATGAGAATGTATGCTCCGTAGCATGGCTTGATATCTTGGACCAAATGATCGCTGAATATGTCTGTATATCAGATGCCGGATTTCTCCCCATTATCTTATCAAGTTCTGATATCTTTGAATTTAATCAGATAACCCATTCCAAAGAAACTTAAGAGCGGCATCTAACTATGGCTCTATGCCCAACAAGACTTAGATCATGATGAGGTCAAGTATGTTGATTGCATGATTGGCCCGGAACCAACAACCCCTCCGTAACTCGAACCACCGTACCCTACCCTGACTTGGTCCTCGGACTATCGATCGAAAGCACCTCAAAATCTGGAAGATCATTGACAATAAGGCTTCGGAGCGACTTCGGTCCTAAATCCGTGCGTATCATTGTGAATGTTCTCAGGTTTTCATGGCGCGATCTGCCATCGGTAAGATGTCCTGGGATAAACATCTCCTGCGTTCAGTGCAAGATGCACCACCTGTTCATCTTCCGCTCTTCCTATACGGCACAGCATGGAAGAAAGACCGGACGGCAGATCTGGTGTACCAAGCACTGAACGCAGGATTCAGAGCGGTAGATACGGCTGCTCAGCCAAAGCATTACCGGGAGGACTTGGTAGGAGAAGGTATTCGCAGGGCAATTCATGATGGACTACTTCGACGGGAAGAATTATACGTGAGTTGAAGCCTGACTATGATGTGTCTTGACACTTGCTAAAGTAAGAATAGATTCAGACAAAATTCACGTCCGTCAATGGGCAGGACCTCAGTAGAATGCCCTATGATCCCAGAACTTCAGTGACAGAACAGGTTCATGCCTCGGTCAAGTCATCTCTTCACAATCTTCGCGCGTCAGATGCGTCGTCGAGTGCTGAAGATGCTTATATTGATACGCTTGTTCTTCACTCGCCCCTGCCCACAATGGTTGAGACTATGGAGGCCTGGCTGACTCTTGAAACATACGTGCCTCGTCGCATCCGCAACCTGGGTATATCAAACTGTACCTTACCAATCCTGAAGGAACTTTATGCCCGGGCGACAGTTAAACCCGCGGTTGTCCAGAATCGCTTCTATCCCGATACGCGATTTGACGTCCCAGTGCGCGCCTTTTGTCGCGAACACAACATCATTTACCAAAGCTTTTGGACTCTGACGGCCAATCCGGAACTAATTCGATCAGATCCAGTTCAGTCATTAGCGAGCCAGGCCGTGATCAGTCCTGCAGCCGCATTCTACTGTCTTGTCCTGGGCCTGGGTAACACAACTGTCCTGAACGGTACGACCAACAGGACTCGGATGGATGCGGATTTGGCTGCTGTTCAGAAGGTCGAGCAATTCAGCAAGGACAGTCCCGATTCGTGGCAGATGATACTGGAGCATTTCAAGAGACTTATAGGAGACGATGTGACACTGTAAGGAAGAAGTAGTTCATCTATCTCGCTGTATGAGTCGGACATTCCAGAGGATGTATCAGAATTTGCTCCCTCTGGATTATCCCTTGCAAGGGGATTGCAAATACGCAGAGGCAACGTGGAAATCAATGGAAATCAATGGAAGCATCTAGAACCGCAGATCGAGTCAAAAAGGCAGAGCAAGGTAGAGGAGAATGAGAAAAAAGGTTAGAAAATGGGCCTCAAATCTTGGATCAAAGATATGCCCAAGGCCCGAAATAGTAAAGAGGGCGACACGGTTATAAGTTAGCGTGTGATGATTGGTCCGTCGCTGAATTGAAGTGGGCTGGCACTTCGGGCGGTTTGGTAGAATGATACTATGAAACAGAATGAGTATAGCAATTCGCGGACAACTTTCTGTATTTAGATCTCGACTCGCTTTCAACAACGCATGTCCTACAATGACAGAAGCTCAGCAGCCTGGAAGATGCTACATACCGACCTACAGGATCGATTCCTGCGTGTTGAAGACCCTCCGTCCAGATAACTTCGGGTTTCAAATGTGAAAGCGGGCTAGCGGCACGTGCTTTGGGCACTAGAGCGCTGACTCATTACAGGAACCAATCAACAGGCGACTTTGGACAGTCACAACAGGATTGACCTCATCCATCCGCCGCCAAGCCATCTCGACAAGAGGGATTTGCCAGTTCGTCGGCCCTCTTATGCTCTGTTGTTCTTCTTGCTGAGCATTCTGAGTCGGCCTGGAAGCTTTTTCCCTCAACGAACAGCCTTTTATCATCCTCACTTTGGTTGTACATTGTCATCGTGTACGTCCTTCCCGTTAGTTTTTTCGATCCACAGCCCGTCAGACATTGGCTCCTCTTTTAACACCCGCCTCGCAGACTTCGACCGCTAGACGGAATTGGATGCAGTTGCAATAGGTTCACCCATCCCACCCTCATTCTGAATCGTTGCGGAACTGTCATCCGGTTCTTCCTGTCTATTGTCCCTCGTTACTTTCAAATCTGCGATAAGCGTCTGTCGCGTCTGTCGCGTCTCCGCCATCGTCAGCAACGCCGCACTCATCCTGCTGTCAGGTGTTCCTTGGTTCCCTCTGGGCGATAGCCAAACGACATTTACGATCGGGCTTCTGTTGCCATTAGCCTCACAGCCTGTGCCACTGCCCCATTTCCTTCCACACTCCCGGCTACAAGTCACTCGAGCACTGGACAAACCTTCAAAGCGATTCACGCTCCCGCGTCAAAACTTATAAATCTTCAGCGTCGCCCGTGGCCTGATTCCAACCAAAGAATACCGCAATAGTTGTTCGAGCGATTACTTTCCGACCGAGCAGAGGTCATCAAGTCTGTCGCCTGTTATGAGTTCTCAAGGCGTAACTCGCAAAAGACCTGCTCCTGGCACATCCCCTGCTGTTCATCCGCAACTGGGCCCAATCTCGAACTACCCCGCGGCGAATCCTGGCGCTCAGCTATCGAATGATCAGTTTTTGCAATGGGGTCAGAACCCTCCCAATGTCATAACACCACCCTACACTGACGCCAACTCTTACAACGTCGCACCTTATACGACAAATCCAGAGGTTCCGGGAGTCACGGTCACCGCGTCTAACCAGCTTGCTCGCCGACAGCTATCGAATCAGCTAGTCAATAGGGGTCGCGGATATGAACAAACGCCGTCTGCTTACTCCGATCACAGCAGTGGTGCTGGAGAACCTGGGGGATGGGGAGAAAGCCTGGAGGAACTCTATCGGCGGGCATTGGTCGCAAAGAGGGAGGCGCAGGCAAAGAGAAAACAGATACCCCCGTTCGTACAAAAGTTGAGCAGGTATGCTACTGCGTCGGCTTAGACTGAGATGGGCTTGGTCAAACGAGATGCTAACCGCTATCATTTTAGTTTTCTCGACGAGTCGAAGAATACCGATCTTATACGATGGTCTGACGATGGAAACTCCTTCATTGTGTTAGACGAAGACGAGTTCGCCAAAACTTTGATTCCCGAACTCTTCAAGCACAATAACTATGCTTCTTTTGTTCGCCAACTGAACATGTATGGGTTCCATAAGAAGGTGGGTCTGTCCGACAATTCGATGCGAGCCAGCGAGCGGAAGAACAAGAGTCCTAGCGAATATGCGAATCCCTACTTCAAACGCGGCCATCCAGATCTGCTGTGGTTGATCCAAAAGCCCAAGAACACGGCAGGGCAAGGCAGCAAGTCAGGGAAGGCGAACGTGCGAGTGAAGACGGAGGAGGTGGACGAGAACGAGAATGAGGACTATGGTGAAGATGGTGCGTCCCGGGATGATCGTAACCGCAGTCGCCAACTATCTCTAGTCCCCGGAAGCATGATGCCCAAGGACCAACTTGCGGGCGTCTATCGGGAATTGCAAGCTATTCGACAGCAGCAGCAAATCATTTCCAGCACCATCAGCAAACTGAGGAGAGAGCACGAACAACTCTATGCGCAGGCTGCTAATTTCCAGGAACAGCATAATCGCCATGAGAATTCCATCAATGCAATCCTCACTTTCTTGGCCACTGTGTATAATCGCAGCCTCCAGGGACAGGACGGAACGCAGAACCTTGCCAATTCTTTTGCGGGTGTCATCTCACAGGATCAAGGTAACGTGGTCGACGTGGGCAATGACTTTTCACTGAGCGCGCTAGGTGCGGCCAATATCAATAGCCCAAATGCGCAACGGTCGATGAAGAAACCGCCGTTGTTGCTGAAGGCTCCTCCGACGACTGAGCGTCATGGTCGTGCCACAACGCTCTCCCCTGCAACTAGCACATATGATTGTTCACAGTCTCGAAACCATAGCCGACAATCCAGCACTGCTCAGCCTGGCCACGTCGAGGAGGTCTTCGAAACGAGCCCTAGGCAGAAGGATGCCACAAATTCACAGAACCAGCAATATCCCCAGCGCGACATAATGTCCGTCATTCAAAATTCGAATGCGCAGAATGGTATTCCCACGACTTTTGCTGAATTTCCCAACGTGCTCTCATCCCTCGAGACTTCTGGCGGTAATTCTCCACTCACCCCGAATCAACGCGCAGATATGCTCCGACTCATGGCCAACGAAACTCATACGGATCCAAATATTCCAGTGCCTGCAAACAATGCTTTGATGACACCGACGCCTCCACCCATGCCGCATAATTATAACGGCCGTCTTGCAAATACTCGCGCCGAGATAGACAACTTGATGAAGATGCAAGCCGAACAAGATCGTTCTGTACAGAATTTAACCAATCTCTTACAACCGCTCAGTCCCACCGGGACCATCCCGGGGCTTGGAGGAGGAGAAAATGGAAGCGTACCCCCACCCCCGCTTGATCTTGACCAAATCTTCAATAACGACTATTTCACCGACATTGGAGACCTTGAGCACAATAAGCATAACTTAGATTTTGGTGATACAACAAGCTCAGTCCCCGCGCACGCACCAGTCGAGCCACCCGTCAGTACGGGCGCGGAAGACATCAAGGATGGAAGCGACCTGTTCGATTTCGACCAAATTCCCCCCGAGGGCGATCTTTTCGACACATCGACCGGGCAACAGCAGAGCCCCGCTTTCTTCAATGGATATGACGGTGCTGGCTATCATGCTGGCGCCGGGACAAACTCGCAGACTCCCTTGGGCCACAAGAATCACAACACGGATTCAGGCCGGATCGTCGAAACTCTCACCGACAGTGAATCAACTAGTCCCAGCGCTACCGTGGACGAGGTATACAATGGCCCGGGCAGGCTCAATGAATCTCAGGGAGGTAAGGGAAATGGCAGCAATGTGAAACGACGCAGGAAGGCTTGATGTTGCATGACATCTACTAACTTGGCTTCGAGTCAATGAAAAAGCAAGGAAGTGATGCTCTGAGCCGGAAAGACACAATAGAAACCCAAAAGGTCAGCAACGAGAAATCGCTAAGGCGTGGAATATTCGGCGGGCAATCTGAACTTTACGAATGCAAGTCATACACCTCATGACACCGGCTTCAACTTAAGTCACCCTCTCCCATTTACCGAGTTAGCAAAGTAGCAGCAACAAAATACTTTGCGGTCGATAACGGTACATAATCACGACTTTAATTTCATTTCATTTCATCTTCAACTCCTTCCATTCTACCAGTGTGAGCAAATGTTCTGGTCAAGATCATGGTGGATTCTTGTCGCTAGATGATTCAGCAGGGGTGTTCTCTCAGCGAGTCCATCTTAGGAAACGGAACGATGGGCCTTGGTGCTGGGGAGCGATCTTTTATGTCTTGTGATGTACGGCTGGTTTCATGATTCAAGTACATAATCAACATTTCAAACACGTCGAATACGCTGTTGTTTGTGTATATGCAAGCCTCGGAAAATCTGTATATGTCAGAGGGCTGGCATTTCTAGGGCCGCCTCACTGAGCTAGTAGATGACCCTTCTTAAAGGATCTTTGATGAGTGATAGGATGACCTATTGCATGTCTCGAGTTGGTCGAATATGCTCGCGCAGCCACACAGTGTGACGAGGGTAAAGCTCCCTGCCAGCGGGGTCTGTCTTAGACGACGAGTTGATTGTCCAGGCTATATATAGATGGTTGTGCAATGTGCTGGTCTGCAAGCTGGGCGTAGTTGTTCTTCACGAGCAAGTGGCTTTCGCAGCTTTCTTAGGCCTTGGGCCATGTAATCCTGATCATCTCTATGTTTTCAAGGTTTAGTTTGAGCTCCTTGTCTGACATGGGTAGTGCTAATAACCTGGGGTGTATGAAAGTGCAGAGATACTCAGAAATCATGCTGAATGACGGCTCTACGAGAATCTATAACTTGTGGCACTCATCAAGGTAATGGCTGATGCTGAGGTATAATTCCAATTCCATTTGACATATCATGACATCAAGGCTTCTCCCTTCTCCTTCGATCCCACTCTTGATCGCCAACGCGCTCGCGCTTACGATCGCGCTCACGATCGCGCTCAAGGCCGCGCCGCCTCCCACCCGAGAACTCCTTCTCGCGCTCCCGCGGATCGATAACAACAAGGGAGTCAAGGTCCTCCGGATGCTCGCGTTTCCAGCGCAGATCCTTGCCGAGCATGTCCTTCCCGAAGCGGAGTTCGTGCGTCAACCAGCCCCGGTCGTCATCGGCGGCGGCCGTCTCTGCGGCGGCTGTGTCATCCCATGATTTGCACGACTGGCAGTTGGCGATGAAGTGGAGGTCGCAGAGTTGGGCCTCTTCGTCTTCCGGTTCGTTGGTGGCTTGTTCGGAGGGGTGTTTCGTGGTGTCTGAGGCGGAGGTCTTCTCGTGCGAGGCGGACTTCGCGTCTGCGCTTTCGAGCTTCGCTCTGAAGGCGTTGAACATCCGCAAAGCTTCGTCTTCGGCGGCGCTGCTGAAGCCTGTTACGCCGTTGGTGCTGCTGCCGCGGCCGGCGCCGTTGACGGCCCCTGGGGGTGGGCGTTTGCGTCCGCGGATGGCGGTCTCGGGGATCATGGCCTCCAGAGCGGACTTCTTGCGGCCGGTGTCTGCCGCGCCTGTGGCGACGGTGCGCCGCATCGAGGCCTTAAGGCTCTCGATCTCTGCCTTCGTCCGTGATAGTATCGACTGTCTTGCTGGAGGCGATTGGGGCGGCGAGCGGGCGGGGCTTTCAGGGTCAGGGAGGGGAAGCTGTCTCAAGGGGTCTGGAGACTTGGGACGAGATTTGCGCTCGGCGGAGGGGCTTCGTTTCGGGGAGGGCGACCGAGCGCGCTTCCGTGGCTGCTTCTCCGTCCCTTGTGATGTCTTCTTCGGTGCTTCGTCGATCGTCGAGATCCCGGCGTCGACCACCAGAGTCGGGTTGAATTTGGGCTTCGAGGGCCGAACAGGGACATCTTCGTCCCCTTCGTCGCCGCCAAAACTCAACAGCGTCTTGCCCCCTTTAGCCTTCTTCTTCTTCTTCGCCGCGGGTTTCTCCCCCGCCGTCGACGGCGCAGTAGCGATCGTCTCCCGCTTCTTCAGCTTTCCAGCAAACGGCCCCAGCTCCCCAACCTCGCACGAAACCACCTTCACAGGATAAACAGGCCGCTCCGTCCCCTCCACGCGCTCCGCCTCCGCAATCTTCAGCACATTGTAGATACTATCACCCTCGACGCGCCCAAACAGCGTACACTGCCCATTCAGCTCCCGCTCCGTGTTCGCCAGCGTGATGAAGAACTGGCTCCCATAGGTCCCGTCCTCGCTTTTCGCCATCCCCACCAGCCCGCGCCGGTTGAAGCGCAATCGGCTATGTAGCTCATCCGGCAGCACGACCTTCTCGTTCGGATCGCGCGCTTCCGGGTCGTATTCGAATTCGGGGTACTCGTAGATGGAGGTTCCGCCTGAGCCTGTGCCGGTGGGATCGCCGCCCTGGACGATGAAGTCCGGGACAATGCGGTGGAAGATCGTGCCGGCGTAGTAGTTGTCTAGGCAGTGTTGGAGGAAGTTCTTGCACGTGAGGGGGGTTTGGTTGGCGAAGAGGGCGATGTGGATGGGGCCGAAGGTGGTGTTGAGGGTGGCGGATGCGGTGGGCGGGGGCTCGGTGGTGTAATGTGCTGACATGTTGAATTTCTAAGGATAAATATAGGAGGTCTGTCGGGCCAGTGCAGTGCTTTCTGTGATCTCAGCTCTGCCAGTCGGAGGCCGAGCGGATTGAGCTCTACAGCTGTAACAGCTCCAGATGGAATAAAATTTCAGGCCCAATCAAGGTTTGTGAAGTCAGAGCCTGCGAGTCAATGCATAGACTTGTAAAGCATAATCAGACTGGCCCTGGAGTTTGGGGAGGGAGAGCGTAGGTTAGTGGTTGATGCTCGGAGATGAATTTGCGGGAAGTTGGAGCTTCTTTGGGGAAGATTGGAGGGTCACGTCATGTTGCCAGGCGCATGTTTATCCTATGGGTATCTACATCAACAACTCCAGGAAAATTATTTCGTATGGCAGTTGAGATATAAAGAACCTGAACGGCTTTAATCTTCAGTTGTCTTCAGGTAGTTTAAGTTTCTTGCTTTGATACCTAGTATGTTGGCTACTTACACGACATCAACGCATACTTTCGTCTCCTCCTGTTTGTTGATACTCGTTTCTACTTTCTAGTAGCGGAAAATAAACTACGGAGGCTAAGTCCCATGCATCGTCTTATAAGACTGGTTCTGACTGCTGGAGTGTTCATGGCACCAGGACCTTCATCGATGCATTGCGAAGATTTCATTAGGAGAGAGGAAGCATTCATACTGCATAGAATCGTGACATTCGCCTTGCATATCAGATATCATCATCATAGGCGATCTCTAGGTATGTATGTTCAATTAAATCAGTTGATCTCAAACAAAGGGTCCCATACATTGCCGACTGGGTCAAATAATCCATATACATCACTATAACACTGCCCCATGTCAGGGCAACTAGATATCATCAGTCCACATCTTTGAGGATCAGAGGACGAAAACTTACTATACAGGCTCCTGGCCGAATATGATATGCCACATATACTCCATAACCCTTCCGCTGGTATCATCATCCCACGGTGTCTCCATGACCCACCGATGATACCGAAGATAATCACTCAGTGGACGGTCAAGAATCTGTTTCCTCGACACCGCAAACTGAGCGCAACAAGGAACCGCAACGACCTCGGGAACTTTCGTCCCGTTGAAAAAGTAACGCCAAGCGTCTGGAAACGCATGCTCCGCATGTCGGCCTTCGTCTCGAGGCTCACGAAACGGCTGCACTTCATCCGGACAGCCGGGGTACCAGTCGCAGCGCAAATTGACGTAACCGTTGCGCTGGACAAGGCCGACGTTCAGCATGCGGACCGTCTTCACGTTGCTGTGATCAAAGAACTCGGTGTGCCATCCCTTGATACCGTCGCGGTGGCTGTGGAGGAAGATGATGGTTTCGGGGAGTTTGTGGTAGTGGTCAATGATGTACTGTAGGTACACGTTGGCCTCTCGGCCTTTATTCTTCTTCACTCGGAGCGGCGCGTGTGGATCATCCACGGTGTAGATCGCACGCTGCCATCTGTCCGTTGATCGAGCATCAGCTGGCCATACATAACCCCCCTGAGCAGGTACAGACATATCCAGCAAGTGACTTACTCGGGCAGATCCTCAGCGACCCAACTCGTGTCTTCGCTTTTCAATCTTCCCATCACAATCACTCCGTCCCGACGAAACTTCTCGTCAACCATCCATTGAGCCGAGGCGGGCGTTTGCACAGGCACAAGATCAGTGATAGCCGGTCGCCTAGCCCGCGCGACAGACTTAGTCGGCTGGATCTCATCTCCATCGCCAACCTCCTGAGCTCGCACCGGATCACCCTTCGACTCATCCCGGTTCGCCGACAAAGGGTGATTGCCAGATTGCGCGCGCTGGCCCTGTATCGAGCTAAAGCGACAACCCAACGCAAAGACGGCGATGAGGAGTAAAATCGCCGCGCACAGGCGAACGTTGGGTTTCATGGCTTGACGCGTCATCACACTCCCGCAGAGCCAGCTCTGCTATCGGTGCATTCGATGTGAACCTACGAGTGGAGGGAGTTCATCACAGGTAGCTGGATGGAAGGACATTAAAAGTCGTGATCGCTATTGGAAAAAGCGATCTGAGGGATAAGTAGGACTATAGCCGCAAGTCCACGCACGACATCCTACTCCTACCCCTACTCCTCCCAGCGGACTAGCAGACGGCCGCATCAGCGACCCACGAGTGTAGATGTCATGGACTCCTGAGCGATCATCATAGCCCTACCCATTCTACCCCTAGTCCTGCGCTCATGGTTCGAGGCAGGGGCATCGCCGGTTCGAGCCAGCGAAACGGCAAAGACTCACAGAGTCAGTCCAGCGTGAGCATCTTTTATTTTTTGTGGTGGGGGTGGTTTTCGCTGGCAAGCGATAATCTTAATGGCAAGGCCGCCAGATGCAACGCTGTGGGTTGAATCTGGATGTGACTATTTGCCGACTGGCTGCGGACGATGTGGATCCTGGTGAGGAGCTCGTGCCGTGGTTGGTGACCGTCGTCAATCATGGGTAAGTGACATACGTCAGCAGTTCGAGGTATAGTGGTTTAGGGCGAGATCACCTCGAAATCAAAGGAGACGAGGCATGGTAACTTGGTGAGGAGGCAGGTGTAGAGTGTAGACAAGGTCGGAGAGCGCATGGCTGTCGGTGGGAATCTCATTGGGGAGATGGTGGGAGAGTCGACGTGGAGGATTAGTTGATAGTCGCTAGACTCTAGTAGTGATCAAATAAATCCCAGATCAATAGAGAGGCACAGTATCTATCTAGATAGATAGTTGATAATAGATACCAGTATCTCAGAGGATTTCAGAATAGTATCAGTGTTTAGTGATGATCATCAACCATGCTGCGCAAAAGTAGAAAAGGCCTAGGGGCATTGTAGTAATAACACAGCGTTAGCTTGGCAATATCTTATTTATTTAACCTCCTCATGGTTGAATTGATATGGGATAGATGCTTGATTAAGCTATTCCAGATTTTGCTTAACCTTAGGGTCCCAATGTGTGCTGGGACAAAATGATCGACTTTGCCTTTGCAACTATCAATCCTTTCTTTTTAGGCGTAAACATTCATTCCAACTCACTCCCATTCATTGATATCATATACGCATCTCTCATTGAACATATCTTAGTTGCTAGTACCCTTGCAATTGATCATGAGTCTCCACGTTGGTGAAGCCATTCAGACCCTCCCTTCATTTTCCATACTAATCAACATCAAAAGCGGATGCATCGCCTCAAGCCTTCTTAGACCCCTCAACAGTGGTGGTCTCAACCTCAGACACAGCATTCCGCTTCTTGGTAATTCTGAATCCACCGAAAAGCAGGAAGATGGCTTCCAGACCCAGGATCACCGCTAGAGTCACCATGGCACCGATCACACCGGCGACAGGTCGCGACACACCACCCTTGGAGGAGTTCGAGCCCGCAGAGGAAGAGTCGGATCCAGAAGAAGAGACAGCGTAAGCGGCACACGCGCCGCCCGTGTTACCGCACGCCTTGCACCACTGCTCGTCGTCCGTGATGGCAATCTTCTCGGTCAGCGTCACAAAGTCAGACCAGGGGATAGTGGCGCTCGACTGGCCGTACAAGGGGTATTCAGCCGGGGTGGACGAGCTGCTGATGGTGCCGTTGTGGAAGATGAAGCGCACGCTGATCTCGGAGGCGGTGGGGAACTCGTCCGAGGTGGAGTTGGTGATCAGCTCCCAGGCCATGGAGGAGGCGTAGTCCGGGATGCCAGTGAAGTTGACCGTTGCGGCGGGCAGCTGCGCCAGGCCGAAGTACGAGAGGAAGGTGCCGTACGAGCCGAACTGGATGTTCAGCTTGGACTTGCCCTTGGAGGTGATGGTCTTGTTGAGACCCTGGAGCATCTCGCCGGCGAGGGTGGAGCCTGCGACGGCGCGGATAGTCTCGGAGGCGTTGTAGGCCAGGTTGTACTGCTCGATGTTGGCGAGCAGGAACAACTTCTCGCGGATCTCCTCGGAGGGGTAGTCACTGCTCGAGTTGTGGATCGAGGCGACGTTCAGGAAGTCCCAGATGGTGTAGGCGGACTTGAAGCTCATTTTGGAGTCGGTGAAGGTGTCGTTCAGGAACGGTGAGAGCGACTTGTAAAAGTCGCTGGTGGAGGCGAGCAGATCCTCGTACAGCGCTGAGCTGTAGTAGTTGTTGCTGCTGACCTCGGCGTTTTGGCACTCGGTCGCATCCTGCAGCCAGGTGTTGCTCTCGCTGTTGGTACCGGTCTCGATGAGCTCCAGAGGGATCAACTGGTAGCCGTCCAAGGGCGCTTCAACTGTCGTGCCGTTCCCCAGTGTTTGGCTGGCCACGGATCCGACGGGAGGATAGACCCCCTGCAGGAAACCAGTGGCCGAATTCTGAAGCACGTTGTCCGAGGGCGCCGAAGCACCGATCTGGTTGAGATTGACAATTTCCTCGCTGATACCCTGAATGTAATGCGAGGAATTGGAGTTGATGTAGCGGTCATGGTAGTAGCTACCAGTGAGGAACACTTCCTTGTAACCCAGGTCGGTGAGTTGAGTGTTGCCCAGAACCTTGGGCGTCCGATCACCATGACGAGCGAAGATATAAGCTCCAAGAACCTTTTCTGCAGATGCGAGGGGCATGGCCACGAGAGCCAGCAGGACGCTGGTGGGTTGCATCGAAGTCCGCATGGTGAGGAGGCTGCTCAGCAGGTTGACTTATTTAGGGCAGTAGAAGGGAACGAGTTTGGTGACCCTTGTAGTGGGTATCGCGAGTTACTTATAAATTTTGTTGTAGACAATTGGAGGACAACCCGCGGAGTCATGCCGTTGACTGTTATCATGATGACCTCGTTGGAGTCAATTCAAGCGGGGACCAGACTACCACACTGAGGGGTATCCGGGAGCTTGTCTGGATAGTTGGTTCATAAAACTTGTCTAGTAATACTACTGCTGCATCTGACCAGTAGCAGCTGTGAAGGAAATTTGCAGAGCTACCATGCAGGGCGTACTGCTCCAATTCCGAATCACGCATATTGCACCAAAGAAGAGGAGAAATTTTTAGCTAATACCACCACCTATCAAAGAAGATAACAACAATCAGTGGGGGGGGGAGCGATGCCCTGTTCCCGTATCCTTGCGACCGTCGATCTTGGCTTGGAAGTGGAAGTTCTATCTTAGACTCGAGAAACGACGAATAATGGAAAAGAAGGAAAGAAGGAATTGGATCACTCAGAGACGCGAGAAATCCATCGTAGTTCTGCTATCGGGGAAGTCCGCGGACATCTCATCTTGGGCTCTGGCGCTGGATAACAAAGGCGGGGCAGGGAATCTCCATGTTTTTCCTCGGCGCTGCCTCAAGTCGCATGCTCTGCAAAAGAGATGTCTACAAATGGATAAGGTCCAAAAGATTGATCAAAGAGTTGCTTCAAAGTGCGTAGAGGCTCTCTGCAGATGTCTTCTGTTTGAGTTGCACAATAAGTTACTATATTGAAGCTTCATCAAAAGCCAGAAAGCAACAAGCACCCCACTTTACTTCATAGACACTCCATAGGACCCTGCTTGCCCTGAGGTCCTTTGCTCACTTTTTAGTTTAAAGCAAAAGTGGGGTTCCCATTCAATCATTTTTCCTGACAGTTCCTCGAACGACTTGGAGATACTATGCATTACGAATTAATCTCAGTGGATGTTTTCTCCTAGGTCTCTACAGCAAATGGTCAAATTGCAATGAAGGTGAAGCGTGATCTTCAGCGACAGGCGTCCTAAAAGAGGAGACTCCATGTTGATCCATCTTTCTCAGCATGAGATTGCGCATTCTGAATTGTATAGAGTATCGAAGTACGGAGTATGCTGTGTGGGTATATTGTGAGGTGAGCGCCCAAATAAGCTTTGGGTAGCCCGGAATCTTGAACTATCTACTCTGTGGACCGTCTATTCCAATATCAGGAATCGTGCCTCTCGTTCCTTGACTTCCGTTGCCCGGAAATACCGGCTATGCACCATCAAATGTCTCCAATACTATGTCGGGCTGGCGTACTCCGTACGTCGGGGACCTGTTTTGTGAGCGGTGCATTGTCGAAGCTGACCCGCTTCTGGATTGCCAGAGCACAAAGCCATTGGCTCTTTGATCGACAGTGTTTCCCCAGGAACCATTCAAGATGCTTTATCCTTCTCTAACAACGTCAAATGCCTGAATCACCGAGCTTTTGCGTCCATCAACTCGCACCCATTTCGTATCACGCCCACCATTCCACCGGTCTGCATGGTCTCTGATCCACCGGCCGAAAGCCGGAATTCAATATCTGCAAGACCTTCTAGCCAAGTGATTCTTGTCTGAGGCGGCACTTCCAGTTGTTGCAGTTGTTCCGCTAAAGCTGAAAGTATGTCGGCCAAGGCGAGACCCTTGTTGGCCTTTAGTGTGTTGACAGTATTCAGACAGGATGTGACATCGCTGGTTGAAAGAAGTGTAGTCATGATTTCCTGGATATCGGATGGATGTGGTGCAGCAATGCACTCGTAAATCGTTTCGTTCGTGATAATCTCGGGTTCGGATTGAGGTTCGTCCTTCATTGCATTTTTCATCGGCAGTGGTTTGCCTGGGCCATCACGGTCAGTACCCAAGTTCTGCTTTAAAAGATAGTAAAATCCTTACTGCTCGCATGGCAAGCCTGAAGCACGTTCAGTGCACGACGCATGTCACCCTTGCTCAACCTCACTAAACTACTCACAGCTTCTGGCTGGATATGGACCTGCTCCTTTTCGATCACCTGATCTACTAGCGACCGGATGTCCTGCTCTTTCAAGGGGCTGAAGCGGAAGCGAGTGCACCGTGAAAGCAGAGCCGGTGACAGTTTGTGTGTGTAGTTGGCGATAATACAGAATCTCGTATTCGCCGTATATCGCTCCATGATCCGTCGCAAAGCCATCTGAGCGGTCGACGTCATCGCATCAGCTTCGTCAAGTATAATCAACTTGAACGAAGCTAATGAAGAGCCACTGGAGGCAGACGGGGGCGCCATGGAAAAGATTTGCTTCGTGCCTGATTGATAGGGTTAGACCTTCCTTGCAAGAGCCAACAATCAAAGTATGGTATGGACGTACTGGCAAAAGTCTTAATCTGCTCGCGCACTACATCGATACCTCTATCGTCACTAGCATTGAGTTCGAGCACCATTTGCCGCATATTGTTGCTGCCATAGATTCGTCTTGCGAGCGCGAGGATAGTGGATGTTTTACCGGTTCCCGGGGGACCATAAAGCAGAAGATGGGGTAATCGCTGCAATCACATTAGTATGGATACATCTCGATTATGCCTTTGACACATACATTTGCTTCGACGAATTTGTTAATGGTAGCGAGGATGTCTTGATGACCAGAGACGTCGTCTAGGGTATTTGGCCGGTACTTCTCTACCCTGCGGGCTCAATCAGTGATGCAGTTAGAAAGGTATATGCCAAGTGCTGACCATGGTAAGTTGTCTTGAGCTTCAACTGGCAAATCTGCAGCTGGTCTCTTAGCTCTCTTGCTGGCGTTGTCGGAGCTGAATTGGATCGCGCTCTTGGGTGCCGGGACATCAACATCCATCTCATCCTCGTGATCAGACATTTTTAAAAGTCAACCTAAACAGTAATGTTGGCGGGATCAACAGGAAGAAAAGTCAGACCAATGCTGTCTGGCGCTCTGTAAACAGTAGTCTCAGAAATGAAGCTTGACGCGTCGAAACTCCGCCAGCGCGTAAAGAGATTCGGAGCCGGAAAATCATGGGGAGGGCAGCAAAGGTATGGTTTGCCTTAGTTGGGTTTAGGCGCATCTGGTGATGACATGAATGGGAACCTCCCGCTGTCTGGCAGCAGCACCGCCTTACGACAACTATCCCGCTTCGTTTATTGCTCGGAGATTCCTCATTACACAGGTTCTAAGAGGGTTGAGCATATTTATCGCTATAGAACAAAATGCCGGTACGAGCTACTCAATTGAACACTTGACAGGTCATTCCATGTTCCCTCCTGACGCTGATTAGGCCTACCATTCCATCTTCCTTGAGGACCGGGATGTTCCCGTAATAGGTATGAATGCATGCGCTTCATCGCGCACCACTCCTTCAAGCGATCCATGAATTTTTTCCGCCATCACTGCGACGGACCTTTCACTGATATCGGGCCTCACCGTCTACCTCCAGGCAATTTCCCTGTCCTCCCCCTTCGCACCCGTACTCGCGGCCCCGCATACACCCTCCCCTCGCTGCCCGCCGATGTCTCCGAAACCGATGTGCCCCCCGACAGCGACTCGTACGACTGCGTAGACGAAATCCTGTCTCTTTTCCGCGCCAATGTGCTCTTCCGGAACTTTGAGATCAACGGACCTGCAGACCGCATGCTCATCTACGGCACGCTGTTCATCAGTGAATGTCTGGGGAAGGTCAAGCCGGGCATGACCTCTCGCGAGGCTGAGAAGGTACTATTGCGACCGGTATTGTGCCAAGGGGTTTGCTGATGGGCATATATCAGGCTTTGATTAATGTTTCGCTTGACCATTTCGCTATTCCCGGCGATGTGTCCTTCCCTCTGAACCAGGCGTTCGAGCCTCCGCGAGACCGCCAGGATGCAGAGACCCTGAGACAGTACGTTTGCAATTTCTTTGAACAAGATTGAGGCGCTGGGGTTAATATGTTTTGGTTGTTAGATATCTTTCTCAAGTACGACAGGAGATCGCTATCCGACTACATGCTCGGCTATACGCTGGCGGTGAAGGGCCTTCAAAGGTAGACTGGTACTGCCCCTTAATCGAACAGACTCAGTATACTGACTTCTTGACTCTCAGTGGTGGCTGAGCTTTGCGAAGAGGAAGTTTATGGGAAAGAGCCTCTAGATGGTTGAGACATGGATATGTTTTTTGCTTTATGACCAGCTCCTGTAACAGCAGCGTTCTGAGATATTTCCTGGTTCCCTCGAACGAAGGGCTGCAATTGTTATTTCACTGTGACATACTCTAGCATGGCCGGGTCCATCCATCTAACCTGGAGAGACCCTGCCACGCGCCTGTTTTAAAGGTTGATCGAGTTCACTTGGCGTGCCAGTCAGCACATAGGTCTCGGATACTCCATCTCTCGAACGAAACAGAACCTCTAACCGCATACAATGTGCAACATTATATGTGATGTATTCCTTACCCCTTGGTGACTTCGTTTCAAGAACAGTGTGTCACTCCCGGGGATTTGCGGTCTACACTATGATATATATCATGACTGCATCTCAACATCCACACCACTTCCACTGTCCGCTGGTGTTGCAGATTCTTGTTTGGCTGCCACCTTCCTCCTCTTCCGGCTTGGGTTACCCGCCGCTTGGATGTTCTGATGGGACGGAAATACACGAATAGCATGAAAAATATAACCTTCAGCGCCACCACGTCCCGACATCAGCGGGTGTGTGCGCCCAGGAAGTACTTGCCACGTGCGTACTCGAGAGGTCTCGATCGTGGGCGCGAGCAAGAGGGACGGGTCGAGTGCGAAATCCTTATCTAATTCTGAGAAGTCCGGTTCCTGAGGTTTCTTCTCGCTATCCTCGCTATGCTCCTGCAGAGACAGTTGTAGACTGTGCTGAGCGATAATCTCTCGTTTTCGAGTGATGTAAGCTGTCCTCCTAGGAGTCGAATATAGATCGACCAGCTCGGTCAGAGGCTCAATGGTGGGAGAATAGACCACCACCGGCGCTGAGCCCGCCAGTAGTGGGACAGTGTGTTTGAGTACACTTGCCGGTTCCATTAGCGTTGCGACAATGAGGCCGTCAAAGTTGCCGGCTCGAGCCTCGTCAACGACCCGCCGTACCCGCTCCCAGCGACTCCGCTTTTTGTAGTATGCGCTGCGTCTGTTGGACTTGAAAGTGGCAAGAGTCTCGTCAGGGACTACTTCGGGCTCATTGGCGTAGATAGTATCTGCATGAGGGTCCAAAAGTTGCATCCACGAAACGGTCTTCATGTGCTTGTAAAGAGGATGCGACTCGTCGGGATTGTCTTGATCGTAGCCGAAGTATCTCAGTAATGATAAGCTAGGCTGCTTGTTCGCATGGATGACAGTGATTGAATTGCCCGATGCAGACATATGACGGCGACGGGCCAGAGCGTGGGCCATGGCGTTCGTGGGTTGTTGCTCGCCACTTTCGCCAGAGTCTTTGGTGAATTCTTGGTCCTCGTCCTCCTGATCATGAGGGTACAGGATGCCCATTCTTTCGGCCATCGCGGCAACTATCAAGCCACCCGTTTCGTCAACCACCAGGTAACGACCGTTAGGTTTTGACGCAATAGCCCCATCGAACGACGAATGTCCCCCGTGATGCACATTACCCCAGCACCCAATCAGACCTATTGACTCGTCACGAAGCTCCATTGTTTTCATCGCCTCTTTCCCTTCCAGCATATAGTTGGCCAAAAGACTAACGTCCACGGGGAGGACTGTGAATCGCTTCAGGAACTTCTTCCGTTTCCGTAATGTGTATTTTGCGAGGGAAAATGCTGTCTTCTGGTCCAATGCGGAATGCGACTCCAACAGCTTCTCAATGATCTCTCTCCCTGCGCCGGTAGAAACTTTCTTCAGAGCCTCGATTTCTTCTGCTGTCATTTTCTGGGTTGATGCGTCGTCGACGATCTCGCGATTGGTCCGTATCGGGATTCCTTCCTCGTTCACCTCGATGTCGTCGCTCTCGCCTTCTCCCTCAGCGATGAGAGACTCAGCATGCAGCTCAGCTGGAGGGACAATGCGAAGGCAATCGTCATTGTTCTCGCCCGAAACGTCAATGATCTCGAAGGTCAGGTAGAATGGACGGCCTATAATCGTGTTGGCAGGGAAGCTCCCGTATTTTCCCAGGAATACTACTCTGAGTCCAGAGTTAGTATATTGAAGGATGTGAAGGTCATCGGTATAATAACATACGTATTCGGCACGAGTCTGACAATTTTTGTAAGCTCAGACGGAAGTCGCAGAGCGACATGCTGGTAAGGACGAATGTAGGAATGCATTGTCGGAAACTGAATCAACGAACATCGATTCAAGCTTCAGCAGTAATACATGTCTCGCGGTAGACGTGCCACTGCAGTTGAATGCGGACTTGAAATGTTGCGCAACAATCTCTGCTGTATCACCGATAACCAAAATTGCCCTCTTTTTTCCTTTTTCTCATGACGATAACGCACGGGCCACATCAGTCTGCAATCTTGATAACAAATTACATAAGCAGCCTATCGTTGCAGATCTCGGAAAAAAGATCTTACGCCTCAAGCCACAATACATCATAGGAGATGTGGCTGAAGAAGTATTTACCATACAATACCGATTAAACGCCACTTTAGAGCGGCTCCAGGCAGCGAAATTGGACCCTTGTGACGATTGGGCGTACGATACGACCCGATTTTCTCCACATCGCCAACCCCAGAGTTACCTGGTAACCTAGGTAGAGATAGCTTATGGAAATCTGGATGCCTGCTCCCAACATGTATATGGATTTGTTCAATTTCCTCCCTTGGCCTTTCGAAATCAATTTTTCGTCCTGATTCTGGCGAGCTCACTTGTCATTCAGTAACAATAAATGACGCAAACTGACATGGCGTTGTTTTTATATGCATCCTGCTAGTCCGTGGCTGAGCACTGTTGCCCGCTTCTGAGCCACCGGTTACGTATACATCTTCAACAATCCTGAACAATAGCATCAAGCCACCGGCGACTCTGCCACGATTCTACATGCATTCAGAGAGGTTTTTGAGGTTAGCAGTGCTTACCCATCATTTAGCTCCTTCCACTTTAGAACAACTCTAGGTATCTGGCCATCCTAAGCCCTTTATCCAAACAAGGCGGACCGCTGAACAACTGGCGGGCCTCAAGAGCTTGTCTTCATCAGATTGACGCCTCAGAGGCTAATCATGGCAGCTATAGGACAAATTCGCCTCCATGGTTCTTCGAAAACGTGCACCGCCGCATCTCTATAGTCTCAATTTAGGAAATGCTCGCTCTGAGCCTCGCTCTCCAATCTCACCAACCTCTCCGACCGCGAAATCAGCTACCTCGCCCTCTCCCAAGCGCCTGACTCGTCCAAGGAGGGCAAAAAGCTCTCCTCATCCTTATCAAATACCCTCGGAAGATTCTATTTATTCCCCTGATCTCACTACTTCGCCAGCATTCGACTTGATGCCTCTGGAACAAGCTCAGAAGTCCCCTGTGGGGACTCTGTCCAGCGATACCGCCAACCCATGGGCGGATGATGTGGTGGAAAGGTCTGATAAGACTCATTCTGTCTCTGAAGATCCCGCGGTCCCTGCTATGGAACCACTGCACGGTACGACACTAGATAGTAGAAGGGGCGATCGCGTACCTTCGATCGTCGTTGCGGGCACTCAGAGAAGGATGGCTGCAAATGAATGGCAAGAGGTTAACAACAGTGCGAATTGGGAGCCACCTATTCAACTGCAATCCAACAACCCTTTCTTGAAAGCGAAACAACCCGATGAGAATCCTTGGGGCTCGAACAATCTACGACCATCACACGGGGATGGTTCAAGTGATCGATTGAGTCAGAGTAGGTTGTTGCCGGCCATTCTCTCTTCGATTTCACTGCTTATAATATTCTAGGCGAAGGTTATATTCCAATGACTGCGCGCTTGTCGCTTTTAGACCAGTCAGGACCTGAGTCTCCATGGGCTGAAGAACGTCCAGAGGCAGCTACGCAGTCTTCCGCGTGGCAAAACAGTCGAATGGACACTCAAAATATGGCTCCCATTCCTCACGTGGTCCGCGAGAATGGCTCGGCATCTCCTTTCCAGACATCACCTTTAGGCAACGAGCATGGGTACTCGTCGCAATATCTGCAACAGACAGATCATGGGTTGCTTGCTCCAGAAAGCGGCATTCAAACTCCTTACGCGACTGATTCTACCATGACGACTCCATCTTCCCATGAGCTGATCGAACTCGATGAACCCTCTCATGCAAGCGCTGAAGGCGCTGAAGCCACTTCACAGCTTCAACCACAGAACATCTCAGCCACGCCTGCGCCACCATTGCCGCAGCGCCCGGACGGCTTACAGGGAAATTCAACTCAAGCCCCACCACTACCATCGAGAAACACTGAATTGTCCGAAGTAGACGAGCAGCAGCAGAACGAGCAGAGATCCGAGACATATTCGATCCGACATGTCAATTGGACAGACCACACAGGAAAATTGCGAGAGTCTCCGGTGCTAGTTCAAAACAAAAACGGGCCATGTCCGTTACTAGCCCTTGTCAATACGCTAGTACTGCGTGCGGATCAGGGCTCGCAGTCACCAATTGTTAGGGCGCTGCAGACCAAAGAACAGATCTCTCTCGGTTTGTTGATTGAGGCATTGTTCGATGAATTGACGACTCGCGTGGGGACCGATGGTGAACTTCCAGATATCGAGGCGCTCAGTCGCTTCCTGACGATGCTGCACACGGGAATGAACGTCAACCCTCGACTTACTTTGGTACGGAGATCATTATCTGCAAGGTTCATGAAAAATCAGTACTGACAGTGACGCAGGAATCGCATGACGCCCCAGGCACCTTCCTAGATACAGACGACATCCGGCTCTACAGTACTTTTGGCATTCCGCTCGTACACGGTTGGGTCGCATCACCCGCAAGCGAAGCTGATGGGGCACTGAAGAGACTGGCACAATACTATGAAGATGTCCAATTGCTGCCCTTTCGCAAACAGGAACTTGAAGATCGTGTCTTTCGAGGGGAAACGCTAACATGGGAGGAGGAACAAGTCATGAAAGATATTCAGGCAATCCAGAGATTTACTGAAATTGAGAACGCCACTCAGTTGAGCACATTTGGCTTGGGCCATCTTACCGAGAAAATGCGCCCTGGATCTTTCTCAATCTTGTTCCGCAATGATCATTTCTCGACTGTCTATAAGCATCCTCAGCGGCATCAACTGTTTACCCTGGTCACCGATGCCGGTTATTCCAATCACGCGGAAGTTGTCTGGGAGTGTCTCGTTGATGTTAATGGATTCAACGCAGAATTCTTCTCGGGCGATTTTCGCCCCGTTGGTCATGCTCCATCCGGAACGGATCCATCTGGGCCGCGAACCTCCAGCAACAGAACGAACGTACCCTCTGTTCCAAGTGAAGATAGAACAAGTGCATTGTCTCCCCAGGAGCAAGCCGATGCTGACTACGCCTACGCGCTATCTCTTCAATATCAGGAAGAAGAACGCCGGGAAAGAGAGAGCAATAACCAGTCACGCAGTCAACGAGCTTCGGCCCCCAACTATCCCCCAGGGGCTGCTTGGGGTCCAGACTCGGCTCACCGACGTGCAGCGAGTGTAGCAAATGGTAGCGGTAGTCGACACACGCCGGACAACCGCTCTTCAAGGCATGGCCAAGGTCCTGGGCGATCTTCTCAATCGCGATTCGAAAACGGTCGTGGCGCCAGCAACAACGCTGAAGATATCCCTCCTCCATCCTACGAACAGGCGGCCACCAACCCAGCACACTCCCCACGAGACAGTCCTGGCAGTGCTTTACCTCAGGACGTCCGATATCAAAGACACTCGTTGGGACGGCGAGTAGCCACAAGTTCTGTTGCAGCAGGCCCAGCAGATCGGGCCAAAGATCGAAACAAAGACTGCGTGGTCATGTAGTGCCTTCGCTATCAGGGCTCTGCGTCTCCCTAGTGGCGTCTTGACAAATGATCTCGAGGACGCATACCAAGAACAAGTCGTGGTGCATATCACGAACCCTATCAATTTTCGGCAATGATTTTTACTGTCTTTTGACGACGCAACGACATGATGCTGTGTACTTTATATAGATACCACGGGAGAGGCATGTTTTGAATTTTCAATGATTGATAGATAAAGAAGTTCGGAGTTCTGTAACAAGCTGGTTCATCTAGATAATGCTGCTATAATACACCCCATCTTGTCTGGATATCTTCACATGTATCTGGAGAATCAGCGCAGCAGCCAAGGTACCTACGAGGAACAACAGTTGACGTGATTTGGGTCAAGGTCTGACTGTAGCATCAGATCACATGATGCATCTCAGTCCCTGCACTATCAGCACTTCAAGCAACCTCGATCCCTGTGTCCTGAACGAAGATGAAGCTCTCCTCGATGGTAATAAAATACTCAATACAGCCCAGCCATGAATGGGGGAACTTTTTCAACTTTTGATTACTGATGTCCTCCGATTCTCCTCTGCATCAAGAAGCCTCGCAATCACGACATCCCGCTCAGGGTCTTCAGCGACATGGATGATTACCCACTTTCCCTAATCCTCCACGGACAGCGACTTCATTGTCGGGACCATGAAGATGCGGGGTTGCGGAGACCAATAGCATGAGGATGTATTTATCCCTTGTTCCTTGATGCAGCAGTTCTTGGTTGAAGAGCTAACCATGTGTGATGTGTAGTAACCAGGTGTTTCTCCCTGCAGGAGTTTTGTCATTACTCGACCTCAATGGAGAAGATCTTTCCCAATCAGGCATTACTTTCTCTGAATTTTGGTCTGAGACACTTGCTGAGACCCCGAATTATGTCGTTCTTCAGAAATTAAAGGCCTTGGGGTTCCACAACACCAGTGATGGCGTTCGCTTTCTGATGCTGTTATTGGAGGAATTATGTTCATGCAAGCGCAGCAGAAGTTACCTAGGACAGTCCAATCTATCAGTCCCCAGATTCCTTTCGCGGCCAAAACGACCTAATTTCGAGATCCACCCTCAATCTCCTTCTGTCAATCAAGCCCAACCCAGTCAATGATTGACCTTTGAGGCTTTGACAACATAGATTCGGTCCGCCGGTCCGCCGGTTGAGTTGACTTGTTCTGTCACTCCACTTTAACCAATATGCCGGACGATCATGGCCATGCGAAATGCGTAGACTCTGCCGAGTCCCTTGCAACAAGCGCGTCTGTCATGCCCTGTCTCAATTCGGGGTCCTGCTACCAGGAAAACAATGCGGACGGGCCTGACTTGAATCTTCTGTCACTATGCTCCAGAACTCGGTACACTGGCGTCGGATGTAGATTAATTCATGCATCATTGCTTGCAACGTGACATCTGAAAGGTTCCCCATACGCAGTATTCGGCTGATGTCCGGCTGAAACCGATGATATTTCTCCACATGCTGTTGTCACTAGGCTGAGAAACATAAACATGGCTGGCTCCTGGTCGCCTATTCGGACCTGGCCTCAACATTGACCTTGAACATAGGCGTTCTTGTCAGTTTACGTAGAGCCAAGTCATGAAGGGGCTGCGCGTTACTGCCCTTGCGGCACTTCTCAGAAGTGCATGGGCCCAAGCAGGCCATTGTTCGGGAACCTTCACTTCCATAACCGCCGCTGATTTTGTTTCCCATCTCCAACCTGGATGGAATCTGGGCAACACTCTTGACGCCGTTCCCAATGAAGGCTCCTGGAACAACGCTCCAGTTCAGGCATCAACGTTTGATACCGTCAAGTCGGCTGGATTCAAGAGTGTTCGACTTCCAGGTGAGCTCGATCCAGTGCCACTGACATCTACTACTGCGGACCTGCTGACAACATTCAGTTACATGGGCATACCACTTCACTGGAAGCTCGCCGGATTGGACCGTGGATCCAGCATGGCTGCAGAGAGTCTCTGACGTTCTGGATATGATTACATCCCGCGGCCTGTACGCGATCGTCAATGTTCACCACGGTGAGATATGCTTCAGTGAGATCGAACTCGTTCTCATAGACTGATTGGGGAATAGACTCGTGGATCTGGGCCGATGTCACTCAGTCGGGAGCCAACCTCACGATGATTGAGGAGAAATTCTATCGACTCTGGTATCAGATTGGCACCAAGTTGGGTTGCAAGTCGAACATGGTTGCCTTCGAGGCGATCAATGAGCCACCTGTCAACACTGCTGAGGACGCTGCCGAGCTCAACAAACTGAATCAGATCTTCCTTCAGGCTATCAATGATGCTGGAGGATTCAACTCCAAGCGAGTTGTCAATCTGGTTGGTGGTGGCGAGGATAGTGTCAAGACCTCGCAGTGGTTCAAGGCTCCTACTGGCTTCTCGAACCCTTACGCCATTCAGTTCCACTACTATAGCCCTTGTAAGTGAGCCCTTTCCTCACCCTACTTGGTCAAAATACTAAATTGATACGCAGATGACTTCATCTTCGGCGCGTGGTGAGAATTCTTGTTCGATTCTTCGGCAATATCCAAAGCTGACACATTTTCAGGGGCAAGACCATCTGGGGCTCGGAGTCTGACAAGGCTACCGTTACCACCGATTTTGAGTTGCTTCGAAACAACTTCACCAATGTGCCCATCGTCCTCGGAGAGTACGACGCATCTCCGACGAACACCGAGACAGCCGCACGCTGGAAGTACAATGACCATCTAGCTCATGTGGCCGCTCAGTACAACATTGCCACCATTGTCTGGGACAATGGCCTCGATCACCTTGACCGGACAACAGGCCAATGGCGCGACCCGACCTCTGTCAAAATCCTTACCAGAACAGAGTCCTCCACCAAGAACAGCCTGCCCGACAGCACCGAAGACGGGTCCGCGACGAGCCAGTGGTCTTCTGCCTATATCTTCCACCAGGTTGGAGCGCCAGTCACGAGCCAGAGCCTCCCATTTATCTTCAACGGCAATACCCTCAAGTCCATCAAGGATTCCAGCGGTACCACCCTGACGCAAGGAAAAGACTACTCCGTCTCCGGCTCCAACATTGTTTTTGCGGCATCATACCTATCAAAGCGCATCTCCTCATCCACTAAGCCTGGAATCATCTCCAACCTCACCCTTACGTTCTCCTCGGGAGCCTCCCCCGTCGTCCAGCTCGTGCAATGGCAGACGCCAGCACTGGGCTCTACATCCGCCGCCGCATCGTCCGTCTCCGGCGACCTCGCCATCCCCATTACATGGGGAGGCATCCCCAAGCCCGCGGCCGTTAAAGCTTTTACCACCAGTGGCAAGTACCTCGTTGATGACTGGACACAGTACCTGGGCCCGTTGCAGCAAGCAAGAACGGTGCGTACCCTTTCTATTCATACAACTTTATAGCCAACCGCTGACTCTCTTCTGCCTCTAGACCTACAACAGCCAGTGGAACTTTGATGCCTCGCATGTCATTTTGACATCTGCGGCTATTGATGCTGTGAAATCTGCTGGTCAGACTGCAGTGTTTACGTTTGAGTTCTATCCTCGTGTCGCTGGTGGTGCGAATACGGTCAACTTCACCGTGACTGTTTAAGAAGACTGGATTGGTCTGGTGTGTGTGTCAATGTGTTGAGCTGTAGTCATTTGTCCTGTTTCGCACATCATGGGATGTAGGTAGGCAGTACAACGAGAGGTGTTTCTGCCAACCTTGATTCGACAGTAGACAAGACGACGAAAAACTCCGGATCATAAATCATTAGTATCATTAAGCTAGTATCAAACCCATTAACATAAGAACGTTCACCGGCAAACACAATCATCATCATCATCAAAGCAGAGTCACTCAATACAGAACCTTCAGCTCCCAAAGCGGAAGGCTAGGATCGAACTTATCCCAGACAATCTTATTCTTCTCATCCAGGTGCGCCCCCTCATCCGTGATCGGGATCGAAGGATGCGTCTCAAGCACCTCCTGATGACTAAACCCCCATTTATCCCTGGGGATCCACAGCGTCGGCGTGCGCGCCCGAATACACGGCTCAAAGTACGCGTTCCGCTCCTCCTCCTCGGAGTATTTGATCTCGACATGGTCCCGACGCACTTTCCGCCGCAGCGCCGCATAATCCCTGTACAGGTTCGGATGGAACCACTTCCAGGCTGCCTCCCAGCGACTCCGGGGATGGTGCAGGAGCGCCTGCGTCTCCTCTTCTTTCGACTGCTGCTCTTCCTCTTCTGTGTCGAGGGTGCGGGGGAGGAAGGTGTAGAGCGGGGCTAGGGCCTCGTTGAGCGACATGTGCGCTAGCACGGTGAGGATGGTGAAGAGGGCCATGATGATTAGGGGGCCGATGGCGCCGCGGATGGCGAAGAGACCGATCATGCAGATGTTGGCGAGGTAGATGCCTGTCAGGAGGTGCTGGAGGGCGCGCGGGTAGACGAGTCCCTTTGTGTCTATTTCGATGTTGTAGACGAAGAGGAAGTTGTAGCGGTAGGCTTGGTAGACGAGGTAGAGGCCTACGAAGGCGAAGCCGAGGATGATGGGGGCGATGCAGGAGTATGTTAGGGCTGGTGGGGGATGGTTAGCGGTGGGTTAGAAGGGTTGCATGCATGGCATGGGAGAGCATGGGAGACGTACCGATGACACCCATGTTTGTGAAGACGGGGAACACGTTCCCCCAGCTGATTCCGCTGAGGGCCGCCCACCGTTGGTATAGGTGGCGTGGGGACCGGTCGAAGAAGGTGCTCATGAATTTGAATACAATGACGCCGGCAACCTGCACCACTGCCATCGAGCTCATTGTCAAGCCCTGGAGCAAGAAGTAAGATATGTAGAAGTTGGTGGCTTTGGGTAGGTTCTCGGCGAGAAGATCTTTGGCCGACAGAGGGTCCTTGATGATCTGGGCTGTTGCGGCAGATGCAGCCGATGTCAGGGTTGTCACAAGGAAGACTTGAACGACCTGGAAGCAAAAGTGCGCGCTCTGCGTGAAGAGCTCTACATGGG